CAAGAAAACCCCAAATGAGATTATGAAGAGACAGACATGACAGAACAACAACAGAATGTTACCTCTTCCGTGACACTTTTCCTGACTCTTCCTTCTTCCCCAGTAGATCATTGCATTCCTCAGTCAGAGCTCATAATACCTTGTCTTGTAACTCTTTAATGAACTCTAACTGTAAGGGATCTGGTTATTTGAGGCAATTAATTTACTTAAGATAATCACTTAGTTTAAGGTAGTGGTGGAATTTTAATAGTGTATGTCCCTCATATTGTATCATTCTCTTTGATTGGGTCTAATGTGAATGGCTAACAAACAAAATGACTACTACTTGGGAGCTTTAATCAGCCCCCAGAGGAATTTCAGCAGTTAGTCTAGCAGCAAAGCAGTCAAATTTCAGAATTTTATAGTCTCTATACCTCTGTACCAGAGGATAGTAAAGGGCAGAGGCTTTGGGCAGAGCCCAGACAGTGTGTTATATACTTCCCCTAACCCCCACCTTAGGGCTATGCTATTGGAGAGATTAAACCAGTAGGAGTTAATGTACCCAACTGGGAGCAGACATACTGCCTCACTGAAGACAAAAAGTTACATACCTGAGGTGAAGGAAACAGCTTCAATGCAGGTAACCCTTGAACCAGGAAACAAAAACTAGCTATATACTCAAGAAAGGACTTCCAAAAACCAGGAGTTGTGAGTTTGGTCACACGTATTTTCTTCTGGTCACACGTATTTTCTATACTGCCAACATATTACAAATTGAAGGCCACTTTTTCCTGGGCTCTATTTGTACATATAGGAGAGTGTGTCCCAGGATTTTGGTGGGAAAAACATTTCTCACCAAAATCCTGGGACACACTCTTCTTTAAGTACAAATACTATACAAGTACTACATATACTACCTTAGTAAATGCCTTTGCTAAAAGTTAATTGAGGCCATTGGGATGCATACCCATGGATCCTTTTGAGCCACTGCACTACAAACTCCAACGTCAGGGTTACCGTGGAGTCTGGAGGAAGTATATTGCCGCCATCCTCTGGGGACCCAGCCCATCAGTGTGAGTGGGAATTGGGAAAGTGGCTCAACAGGGTGCTACAACATGTAATATTGTATCATTGCTTTTTTGTTGGTGTTTTTTTCCTTTACTAGACTGTAATCTCTATAAAGAAGGATGGAAATAGATATTTATTAAGTGCCTACTATGTACCAGGTGCTGTGCTGATTGCTATGTAAATATCTCTTTTGGTCCTCACAACAACCCTGGGTATTATTATACCCATTCTACAGTTGAGGAAACTGAGGCAGACAGTGGTTAAGTGACTGTCCCTGGGTTATATAGCCAGTAAGTGTGTAAGGCCAGATTTGAACATAGGTCTTCCTGGATATAGGTCCAGAACTCTATTCACAGTGATACCTAGCTATCTCCAGTACCATCTATATATACCCTCTATAAGGGTAGAAACTGTTTTATCTAAGCTGTGTTGCTTCCCCTATGCTTATGGCACAGTGCTGTATATGCTGAAGGCATTAACATTTGGTATTTTTGTTACAAAATGCTGATGAATAACATGAAAAGGCACCATCATTGTTTATAAGGAGCTAACAACTCTTAGTAGCTGGTAGCTAGAGTGTAAGGAGAACTCCTTTCCAATGGCATAATGTCAATGGTTTGCACTCTCTGACTCATTACCAATCCATTTGGACACTGTAATCTTGCTTATTTGACTTTGGCAATGTACAAGGAGAAATACAAGGTCACTTCAGCATTGTACAGTAAGTAGCACAATGGTCACAAATTACAGGGAGAATTCTACATTTCTCCACCCTTGGGACAAGTCTGTGAGGTTGCCCAGGGGGTCCTTATGCACAGTCATACTAGTCTGAGACTATAGAGAATCAAGGTCATTACATTTTATTATCCATATACATCAGTTTGGAGCTATGGGCAAATAATGCCTTCAGCAATCACCAATTTGATAATGGTCTCACGATTGAGTTTTTAGAATCTATGCTGCTTTGAAGAATCTCCATGTTCCAGATAACAAAACTTGTATCTTAGTCGCCATTGACATCTACAGAATGTCTATTGTAAATATTTATGAAATGGGGATAATTTTTGTACTACCCATCTCATGGAGTTGTGAAGAAAACATTCTTTATAAGTCTTAGGGTGCTATGTAAATGTGATTATTACTAGACAACAAAGAGGTATATAGAAAAGTAATAACCTTACTCACTTCAAGGAGCTTACAATCAATTTAGAGATACATGTGTTTAAGCACACTTACACATAGCATACAAGTGAATTACAAGAACCTAATGTAGCAGCAAAAGAATATTTGGTAGTCCTGATTATTAGCAAATACATCAAATGGAAATATCATCTACCTAATATGCACATTAGTCACTTAATCACATAATAGTTACTTAATCCTTTATACTTTCTAAGTTATACACATTTGCTTTTTAAACTCTAACTTTAATTCTGCTACCTTTAGGAGTACTAAATTTACTTTCTCCCTACCCCAGAAACTTCCCTGGAGTCTGGAGAAACCAAGCACCACAAGGCTCATACTTCACTAATTAAATTCCCTTTGGATGAAGTTCAAGATTGATATGCCTTGCCAAATTCCATCCTATAATGGATAATGTTAACAGTGAGATTTCAGCAGTGTTAGGATTGCCTACCTGTCTGGACTTCTTAGTTCTGTAGTCCCAGTGAATGTTTAGAAGAATTATGGGGAATGTTTGTTCATCTGGTTGTTTCTGGAATGTGATGACCCAGGTTTATTCTGTCTGTTGGATTCTGCTAGGTCCCACTGCCTGCCTTGTTATGTTATTTCTGCATTTCTTAGTGTTTAAAAACCTTCTTTCCTATCAGTTATTTTATTTATTAGTTATTTTAATATAATAAAAATCACAGGCAGGATAAATAAGTTAGTTTTTCTTTGTTTGCTTTTCTGGATTTTATTTTACTTTGTGTTGTTGAAAAATGTTATAGTCACTGTGCAAAGAAACAAAATCCACAGATTAGGCTCACTGGCAAGGTACACAGAGAGATTTGAGGAATGATTTATTTATAGTGTTTGGCTGAAATTAGGGCATGCTTCCTTATCTCAGGACTAGTCTGAAAAGACCACTTTAATTGTTAACTTTATATCTCCAGTGCAAATACTTCACTTCTTTGCCTCCTTGTTTCCTTGTCATACTTCTACACTTATTTTATAATTATATAGGAATGTATCAATCAATAAAGATATTAAGCCCCTACTATGTACCATACACTTAAATAAAGGGTGGGGGATACAGAAACAAAATCAAAACAATCCTTCTCATATATTCTAATACTAGAGACAACTCGTACACATGAAGTATTGCAGAATATATACAAAATAAATTCAATGTATCTTGGAGAGCACGGAAGGCATAAGCAGAAAAAGCTTCATACAGAAGGTGGTTCTTGAACTGAATCTTGAAGGAAACCTTGAATTCCAAGAGGCGGGTGAAGAGGCGGATAACATTGAGACGTGAGGGACAGCACATACAAAAGCAGGGAGATCGGAGATAGAGTGTTTTGGGAAGAACACCCACAGAGTATATGGACAGGAATAATGTGTAAGTAAATTAGAAAGGTAGGAAGGTGCTGGCTTTGAGAACTAATCAAGTTGCCTGTGACCCTTCAAGCTCTTTGACCTTATGGTCTTTATGGCTGTACTTCTTTTATTAGGTCCCATTTGCCTTACCTAAACAGTACTCCACTTTATCTAAGTTATCCCAACCCAAAGGACAGAATCTTAAGTAAGAATAGATTTTAAAGGGTGAGAGAGGAGTATTTTTTTGTCTTTGTATCTTCAGTCCCTAGTGCACTGGCTTGTCTATGGACAAGCAGGCAATTAATAAAAGAGAATTAAGGATTACCGCTAACCCCTTCCATTCTATACTCCCCAGTCTTGGGCTTCTCTGCTTACTCTGCTGACATTTCCTTTTGTTGAGGCAATTTTTCCTCTTTTTTTCCTCCCACTGACCATGAGCAGTAAGATGGGTGGCCTCTAGTGGTAATGCATTTCCCTTTGGTAGAGGTCTTCAAGATGAATCTGGGTGATGTTTTGCTGGGGATATTGTAAGGGGAGATGATCTGATTTAGGTTGGAGTAAATGGTCTATGATGTTCCTTCCTCCTTTGAGAGTGTGTGCTTCTGAGGTAACTTGTACATCACCTTACATTATTTCCTTGCACAAATTTAGAAGCCATTTTGGGGGTTGAAAGCTATTAAATGAAGATCCTAATCCAAAGTACCTTCTCCCTCTCTTCCAAAAGGGTTATTCTGGTTATTCTAATCAATTCATCAACTCATTAGTGAACTTCACAAGGTGGATTAATTAATGTTGTTTACATTTACTTATATCACTATTTTCTCTTCACAGTGGCATTTTTATTTCCAAAATAGAATTACAAAATTATAAGGGACTTTAGAGAACATTTACTAAAACTCTTTTTCATTTTATAGATGAAGAAACTGAAGCCCATTATGGAGGCTGCATAGTATAGTGTAGGGGAAGAAATGTTGGATTTGAACTTAGAACAAACCTCTGGTATTTAGGTCAGTAAGTACTCAGGGCCTCAGTTTCTTTACTTGTAGAAGTGGAATAAATCATCTCTATGACTCCTTCTAGCTCTAAAACTATAAACTATCTTAACTAATGTGATGTGACTTACTCAGTGTCACATATTAATTAATGACAGAGCCGGGATTAGAACTCATATTTCATGACCAGAACAGGGTTTAGTGTGCATTTTATAAATCATACCAGATATCTTCCAGCTAAAGGAGCAGATATAAGACTATTTGTGCTTTACCTTGTAGAAGTTAACTTTGTAATCAGGAATTACAGTAAGTCTGTATAGAGTTGACATAGCTACTTCTATACTGCCTTAGAGACTATTAAAATTTTTTTCTTCTCATACTTTAATTTTCATCACTTTGGTTTCTTGATTTGTTTTGCAGTGCTGCCACTTCTTGGAAGAATGTCATTTATGTCAGAGGATATAGAGAGATTTATTCAGACTGGTAACACTTTCTACAATTGCTTACTAAAACTTAATTCTTCCATAAATACCTTTATTCAATTACTCACCAATTATCTGGGCTGCCAAATACCTTGTATCATTGTGAATGAAGGTGGAACTGTTAAGGATTATTTTGAAGAAGTAGTATGTTCTTTGAAGAAGGTCCAGGGTGATATTGAATCAAAGGAGAAAGCCAAGACTGAATGTTCTCAATTTTCCAAGATAACAGCAACCATGACTTCTGTACTGGAGAAAGACCCCTGTCTAATAAATGCTAAAAAGTTATGTGAAACAGCTAAAGAAATTTCTACCTGTGCCCAGCTGCCACTTGTTCTTATGCTGAAAAATGTCAACTTCTTTGAGAGTATGGAATGTGCTCTTTCCCAGCTGATGAAATCCTCCAATCATGAGCCTCCGACTGACCGACCTCCATAAACAAGATCCCTGTGAACTACCAGGACCTGCCAGAGCTCCAGAGAAGAGTGGCTGCCTAACTTCTACAGCAGTGTCACCTACAGACATCCTAGAGAAGTTGAGCAAGCTGATAGATTGCCAAACCTCCATTAGCCCCACAATGTTAGCTGCAGATAATCTCCAAGAAATTGTCAAGACTATGGAACCTGTTGCAGACAAACTACAAGTCACTAAGGCTATAGAAGCCAATATGGACTTATTAAAATTAACTAAGTAGCTCTACAATTAGCAAGTAGTGGAACTGCAGGGGAGATGTTTTGTTTAGGAGAAAAACAGTTCTCATCCAATGATTTCTCACCATAAAAGCTAGGAAATTACTTTACTATTGAAAGAGAGGCACTGAGGTGCTTTGATTTCAGGAAACCTAGGCCTGTTATTTAATTAGAAGTATGAGGCTAGGCAGCTGTCAAACAGCAAATCATTTACTTCTCTTCTTGCTTGTTTAAATCTCAAATAAATCCCCTTTGGAGTGGCATCTGCTTAACAAAAGATAAAAATTGCAAAAGACCAACATTATTACTATATTTGACAACGTTCCTGAGCACTAAATGGTTCTCTTAAAGCAAAACTAAAGTTTTTGATATCCCAACTTTCAGATAACTTATATTATAAAGTTATTTCCTGCAAAAAACTGGCAAGTCCAAGACTGTATAAGCTTTATCATTGAGCAATGGATAGTGGTCAATACTAGCAGGAAACTCTTAGGGATGATTAGTCTTAAAGCAGTAAAAAACAAACAAAAACACAACAAAAAAACCCTACTTAGCTTTTTTGTCTTACTGGATCACATATACCAGTTCTTATAGTGCCTAATAAGTGTCTTGCAAATAGTAAGTGCTCAATAAATGTTTGTTGATTTGTTTTTCCAGAAAGAAATGACTCAAGTGAGTATGTAGTGGTTGTTTATGGGAATTGGACCAGTGTAGCTGTCTGTGAATTTCATCTCAAAATATATAATGGACTACCTCAGGACATCATAAATTACTCCTTGCTTGAGGTTTTTAGACGGAAGTTGAGTGACCACTTGGCAATGTAGTAGAAGAGGCAATGTTCAGGTATGAGTTGGATTAGACAGCTCTTTGAGGTCCCTTTTGATTATCAGATTCTATGATTTTATGATCTTTTTTTACCTTTATTCCTAACCCCCAAACTCTGGAGTTTGAGAAACACTTATCCTAACTAGTGGGCTGTATGTTTTGTTAGTGCTTAAAAATATATGTATATTTTTTATCAACATGGGTATTCTCTTCAATCGTGTAGTTCAGAAATCCTGAGTATCTTGTTATGTGACCAAAAAACAATCATCACTTTTAGGTCAACCTCTCTGAACTTTAGTTAGCCGACCTTCAAATACTGGGATTGTACTAAAAATCTTGTTGCAGATTTTTGGAGGTAAAAACTGCCAGAGTTTACACTTAACTGGTGTAACCTTTGGGAACCCAGATCACCACCATATCACAATCATTTGCAATAAGCTTAAATAAAAGTCTTCTTTTAATATCAAAGTTAAATCAAGTACTGTAGAGTGAACATCATATTGTAAAAGGCCGAGGAAAATATTAAGTTGGTATTGTGGCATTGTTTTTGAGAAACAAGTGATTCATTCCTTTTAATGGTTCCACTATTATAATAGACACATCTTATAACACAGAACCTTGTCAAAGTCAATATATTTCTACCATTTTATACATAAAATAATTTGACATCCTGAAATAGAAGGGGAAATTACATTCATGTGTCACAAGTACATACAGAGATAACTAAGAAAACAAGGATGAGACTGCCAAGTTTTAAATAATTGAGATTCCACTCAGTTTGATATACACTATTAGTTAAATTATAGAGATAATTCAGTGTAGTAAGAATTACTTAGGTACCATGTTCCCACCAGAAGAGGCTTTACCATCTAGGGAATTCAGATCTCCTGCTTCCCCACCCAAATTCATGAAGATATCTCACTTCCAAAGAGTTTTAGCCTGGTAATGCTCATCATGTTACTTTTTCAGCAACTCTACACGTTTAGTTTTTGGGAGATTTATTCTCAGGTACAAAACAACAGTAGAATATTGCTATTTACAAAATGGGCTTTTGATTCAGAGAAGACATTTGGGTTCATTTAAAAAAACAAACAACTTTACAGTTTCCAGAAGGTACTCCATTCTGTTCCTCTCCTGTTCAATTTGGGACCTAGCTCATTGTCCATACACACACACACACACATAGATGAGCTCCATGTATTGTTCATTTAACTGCATATCATGGTGTGGACAGTAGGCATTCTTCATCCACTTGGTTCTTTCTATGTGGAGGTGGATAGTCTGGCCAAAATTTTTAGGGTGAGTATGGATGTCATTTAGAAATCTCTGTAGTGGGGCAGCTAGATGGTGCATTGGATAGAGGCCCGGCCCTGGATTCAGGAGTACCTGAGTTCAAATACAGCCTCAGACACATAACACTTACTAGCTGTGTGACCCCTGGGCAAGTCACTTAATCCCATTGCCTAACCAAAAAAAAAGAAAGCTCTGTAGTGTTCTGAACCTTGCTGCAAATCAGCATGATGAAAGAACACTGGCTCTGGAGCTAGAAAACTGGGTTCACATCCTGCCTCTGATGAACAAGCTGTGTGACCTTTGGCAAACCCCTGTCTTTCTGTTTTCTATAAAAGAGGGATTTGGACTAGATGGCGGTACTGTCCCTTTTAGCCAGTTGTATTGTTTTAAAGATGTAAATTACTGTGGAACATTGCCTATACTTTCTAATACCATTGCATTCAAATATCACGATGTATTTAGTCATTCTGCAACTGCTGGATATAAAGGCCATTTCTTATTGTTTGTGTTATAAAAAAAAGCAGTGAATATTTTCCTGCACACTCTTCCTTTTTATATTTTTGAGATAGGGTCCCAGCAGTGGAATTGCTATGTCAGAAGGTAGGATGAGTTTTGTGACTCTTGTTGAATATTACTATATTGTCTCCAAAATGTATGTAGTAGGCTGCTGTGCAACCAATTACATATTAGATTATGACCCATACTCTCAAAGATTTGTGTCAATTCCTAATAGATTTTGGATGTCAGACCTTCATCTGGAATGTCTAATGCAATGATCCCCCCCTAAACCAAATCTTTTCTATAAATAAAGTATAACTGCATCAATTTAATGTGTGCTAAAATTCAATTTTGTTTGTATATGATTGGGCATACTAATTTCTTTTAAACTTCCTGTTCATTAGTTGTGAAATTATTCTTTTCTTTTTTGATTTGGGTAATTTGGTTTTCCTCACTTTAAAAAATCAAAGTAGTAAGTGGTTTATCAATTTGTTGATTTAAAAAAAAAACACTACTCTTTATACCTCAGTGCAGAATAAACCCAAGAAAATAAACTACTATTTGAGAACTGTGTAAAAAGATAAAAAGCAGTTTGGGGAAAAATAGATTAATTCAGCATTTTGTACTGTGTAACAATAAGTACCAAACAAATATTTGACTTAAATATAAAAGATCTCACCATAAAACAAAATTTGAGGGAAATAGATAGTAATATAATTATGGCTAGGGGGATCATTCTTAACCAAAAGATAAAAGAAATTACAAAATGTAAAGCAGGCATTTTCTATTATATTAAATTAAAGAGCTTTTTCATAAGTAAAATAAATACAGCTAAGATAAAAAGGGAAACTCTTGGTTGGGAGAAAAATCTTTTCATCACATATTTGTGATAAAGGAGTGATCAGTGAATCTTTGTTTGCCATGATGAAAACATTTGTTCAGTCTTTTTCATTTTGTCCTGAAGCAACACATGCTTTCCAAATCCCTGTAAATGTGTGTCCTATTCTGTAATCCATATCTATATTTTATTTTATTTAGATTTATTTATATAAATATCTTGTAATTAGACTTCTGTATTGTCGCAAGTGAAATTCACCAGAGGTAGACTGAGGCATGCTTTCTTTGAGGAAGATAACATTTTATTAACAGAGATGCTACCAGCCAATAGAATGGGTCAATGGATGCCTTATATATGCCAAAGATCCTAAGTAGGAGGACAGCTCTCCTTTTATAGGTTTTGGGAAATACAGAACAAAGAGCAGAACAAGGTAGGTGAGGGAATAATGCAATTGGTTATAGGGTTGATGATGACATGGGGATGAGGACATGATTGGTTACATAGCTGAAGCACAGGGGATAATGTGATTGGTTGAAATTGGGAATGAGGGGTTGGCAACAATCTCCTCCTTACCTTCTATGATGTTCATTGTTTGAGTCAACTTGCAAGGTTAAAGATAGCGGATCAGACATCCTTGAAGATTAACTTGATGGTATATAGATACTGGACCAACCTCCCTGGTGTCCACTCACATCCCTCAAAGATAACAGATTTCTTTAAGGCAAGAATAGAATAGTGATTAGCAGGAGAGCTGGATTTCTAAACTTAACTCATTACAGACTGTCTGAATTTCTGCAGTAAGTTCATAGACAAAGAACCATGACTTAGGCAGCAACGGGATAAAATCAATTAGCTATCAATAAAGTCAGTTAACCAAATAGGATCAATTAAAAATTTATACAGAATCAATTTAATCCATTCAGTATGTAGTCAGCTTCAATATTACATTGCTTCTTTATACATATCCTGATATCTTGCACAATATCATCATTTATGTTTGTTCCCTGGCACCTTTCTTTTCAGTTAGGGATTACTTCATGTGCTTGACATAGGTTAAATATGGAATCACCAAAAGGACATACCACTTAGGATTGGGATCATTTTGGGGACTGACTGACCAATAACCCAGCAACCCCTATCGTCTACTAGCTAATGCTGCCGTTTTGGTTACTTTTTCTTCCACTGTGGCTACAGGAGGATTGGGCAATCAAAGGAAGTGGGTGTTCTACATATTGCTACGCATATTTTATATCAATGAGGTTCATAGTATACTTCAGAGTGTAGGAAGCTGAGCCAGGAAGCAAAGTAGTCTGAATGAAGCTGCCAGGTTAGGGCAGTGATTCTAGGCTGCAAGGCTATTAACTTCCTTCATTAAATATTTTTAGTCTCATAATGGGAAGTTTTAGGTAATTTCTAGCATCTTGTAATTCTTGCTTCTGTTGCTTAATACCTATTGCAAGTCACTTTAGCTCTCTGGGCCTTGATTTCCTCATTCATAAGGTGAGGAGGTTGTACTGGATGGCTTCTAAGATCTTTAAATATATATAAAAT